TGTGGTTGTCGTTCTTTTAGGCTCTGGTCGCGATGGTCGTTTGCCCAACCAGTTCAACTGCACAGTATTGCCGCTCGCTGCAGCATCAACGAGCACAGGGCCACGCCGTGAGATTTGCATATGTCATCTTGGTAGCTACGAACACTACATTCGGTTAGATTTGACTCCGGATTGTCTATTACCGCCTATTCATAGTATGTGGTTCAGACACCGAACTTTTTCGGTGGAGAATTTGGAGAATCGGTACCAGTCTAGGTTGCAATTATGGTTTGATGTACAAAATAACCCCTGATGTATGACATATTTTCTTTCATTCGATGTTCGGTTTTATGTTGTTGGGAACTTTAAAAAGATTATGTTTTTTTTCATTATATGTTTTCATTTTATTCTTGTTTATAAAAAAAAAAAACATATGTCGTGCGTAGAGTGAGGTCACACGACTCGTGTGCCAAGTGACACGAGTCGTGTGACACTAACACGGCTCGTGTCACACTGACACACCATGTCACACGACTCGTGTCACTTGGCACACGAGTCGTGTGACTCATGAGAAAAATACGAGCCGGCTACGTCTTTTTCACACGACTCGTGTGCCAAGTGACACGAGTCGTGTTAGTGTCACACGACCCGTGTCACCTGGCACACGAGTCGTGTGACTCATGAGAAAATTGTCTAACTTGCAACAACTTTTTCACACGGCTCGTGTGCCAAGGTGACACGGGTCGTGTGTGTGTCACACGACCCGTGTCACTTAGCACACGAGTCGTGTGACTCATGAGAAAAATTAGGAATTAACTACGGCCTTGTCACACGACCCGTGTCGCATAGTCACACGAGTCGTGTGACCTCACACGACCCGTGTTACCCTGTCGTGTGATGGGTCGTGTGGACCAGAAAGTCTTTCGAAAATTGAATATTTTTTCACACAACCCGTGTCACCGGGTCACACTAGTCGTGTGGGATGAGAACAATAATGTTTGACAAAAAAAAAAACATCATGTTTGACAAAATTCGTCTGATACGCATAATGTTTGACAAAAAAAAACAAAACATCAGAACATCATTACACATTTATTTGAAATTTGCGTAATCCAACTTAAGCTTAGCCAATTCATCTGATAACTGCGCCGCCTGCAGAGGATCATGAGCTGTTAAACCCCGCAGAGTCCTCGAGGTAAGAGTCAAAGCACGGTCCATCCACTACAAAACAAAAAAATAAGAATAAGAATATATGCTCATTATTTATTAAAATAAAATTTATTCTAATCAAATATTATTAATTACAAGCTTGCGAATGTCTTACATAGTCGGTGTTCCCACGCGTAGGGACCTCTCTCTCGTCAGGCAGACCCTCACCCAAGACAGTAGGATGAGAAACCCGACGGTACCACAGCAAGTACTCCGGATCGGCCTCCCCTCGATCATCTGTGGCGACCCTACACAAGCTGGTGTTGATAGTCTGTGACATCGGGAACTGGTTCCACATACTTACTGCGCCGACATCAGGATGCTCGACTTTGTACAGCCTCGACTGCCAAGCACAGTAATAATTGTTAGTTAATCATTCACGATTATAAAATTCTAATTTATCGTGTATAAAATTCTAAATAATCATCTATACTACCTGCCAAGCACGGTTTACAGCGGTCGGCGTCTGTATAGGGGGAGGGATTGTCTGGACATACCCCAACTGCCGCAGAAACAGTACAGGATAGTACGGCTCGACAATATCGCGGTACCGAATCAGTCCGCAATAAAGAGTCCTCTGCTCTATCTCATCTGGCCATGAGCTGCTGTATGGCATCCATTGCACCTATTCACAATGGCATAAAAGCATTTATAAGAATATTTATATTATTTTAAATAACGAGTAACTAAATTAAATAACTTAACGTACACCGGAGGCAGTGAGTCTGTCCAGCTTACGACGGATAGACATCAGACGGTCCTCTGACCTATGACCCGTCCCTGTGTTCCACACCCGCGCTCGTGCGGACTCGTTAGATCCGAGAGGTAAACGCCCCTCCTGGGGTCGGAAATCCGGGAAATACTCGTAAATCCAAGACTGCAGAAGAGTCAAGCAGCCGGAAAGTTGTTTGGAGTCCCCTCTGCTGGCAATACCTAACTGTCGGTATAAATATGCCAGCGTAGCCGACCCCCAGGAGTAACCTCCAATGGCATCCAAGCCGTCGAGCACCTCATGTAGGAGCTTCGGACTCACTCTACTACCACTCTTGTCTACGAACAACGTGGTAGCCAGCAGCACCCAAATCCAGGCACCAGCCTCATCTGAAGCCAACTTATTTTTACCTCTAAATATCTCCCCAACAGAGGCTTCGGCCACCGAACCACGCTGCCACACGGACGCAATTAGGTCAGGCTTTGTGACCGAAAGTATCTCCATGCAGTAAGCCTGGCATGCCTCTGAATCCGGGTCCTCAACGACCACACCTCCCTCAACAGGAATGTCCAAAATGGCCCGGACATCGTGCAACATAATGCTCATCTCACCAAAAGGCATGTGAAACGAGTTAGTATCAGGCTGCCATCGCTCCACAAATGCAGTAATCAGTGGAGTGTCCAAGTGGGCGTGCATGGAGTCTACCAGATGTGACATCCCGGTCTGTCTAATCAGATCAAGTGCCTCGGCAGACATTTCACATCGCCAAGCTTTCAGATTTTCTACAGCTCGCTGCCTGTTCTGGCATTTCAGTAAGTCTCGCATCTGTCCACTCCACATTCGGGAGGCTACGTGCCCTAGAAAGCTAGGGATCACACTCCCATCCATGGGCCCACCGGGAACTGGACCTCTAACGATCCAGTCTGCCCCATCATTAGTCTTAGATCGTTTGCTAGTACCTACATTAGAATAGAAAAGACAAATATATAAATACATAATTGAAATAATGTCACTAACAGTACTGATAATTTGTTGCGATTAAGTCGAAATATTAATGTCAAACGAAATAAAAATACTTAAATTATTTACCTGAGGATCCA